AGCAAAGGGGGGGGGGAGAAATTTATTTCATTTTATGATTTTGGACCTCAGGGTCAAATCAAGCAACAATTTATATGCCAAGAATATCAAATTTGCGTGGGCCAGACTTCCGTGGTGCTGATGGTCGGAGCACCAATAGCAAATGAAGCCATTTAAAATGAAAACTGTTGGAAAACGGTTCGAATCGGCAGGAATATGTATCACCCGAAGATAAAGCCAGACACACGTCCAGAAGATAAAGCCAGACATACTGTACTTCCAGGCACTCACTTGTGACTCTCAGAGATGGCTGGGTCATAACGTAACTATATTTTATTCTGCCTTTCTCCATTCTGAAAAAATAAGGCCTTTCGTCACCCTTTCGGGCCTCCGTTATGATGAGCGAACAATCTCCTTGTTCCAGTCCTTCAGAAAGATGAAAACGATGCCGGGTATAGTCTGCTACTTCTTTCTTCTCATCATTGGTGGCCACAGATGGGTCTCTGTAGCTTCGGCTGCCTGTCGCATACCAGTACCCATATAATTCAGAGGGGCTACTTTCGGGCGATGCTGGATATGCAAAGGTACAGGGAATTATGACACAGAGTCCTTCCTGTACTGTGACCACATTCGGGGCATCGAGGATATACGCATCGGACTGACCTCGCACCTCTGCGTGGAAGAGAAAGTGAGGAGGTCAACTCAAGAAGTAGAGAACATCATCTTCATTTCCCCAACTCATTCCTGCAAACCGGCCCAACCTTTAGGCGTAAGGTAGAAGTTTTGGCAGATGCTGGGATACAACAAAGTCAGTCTTACATTTTTACCTGCTTGAATCTACAGCTCTTTCCCCCTTTTTGGAGAACACAGGTAAGGATTTTGTATCCACGTTCTGCATTCTTAACTCTCCTTCTAGCTTGTGATTTGGTAGAGGTCACTCTCGCATCCCCTGATTAGAATTAAATCTCAACGGTTTGACCTTCAATTTAGGCAGGAAAATGTCTTGGGCTCTCCTAGCCTGTAAATGTTTGGCTAAACAAATCTGTCAGTCAAGCTGGGCAAGAGACTTAGCATGTATTTAGAAGCAATGTTCCTTCAAGGGACAAAGGACATTTGCTTAGCACAGCATGCATTTTCTTTACTACTGCATCTTGAATTTAGCAATGCTTTGTTTTCTGATTGGTCACTGAAAGGTAAACACAAGCTCATCCTGCAAGCCTGGTTGCTGAGACATGTATCTTTAAGAAAATTCTATCCTTGAAAGGAAAATATGTACATCACAGGGAATCCATATCTTCCTTAATATCAAGTCTGAATTTGAATTTCTCATCCACATCTCTCTCCTCCTTACCCTTCCATAGTAGGCAGGTCATAACTAGTCTGAGTGCAAAGACTTCAAGGGAATGACTCATCTTCTCATGTCTTCTCCTGTTTTCCTGAAATTTCAGTTTCTCTGCAGCTCTGTCATCACTTGCAGCAGCCTAAAAAACTGGACCGAGAGGCAAAAGGAAAGCACGAAAATAGAAAGAAGCTCCTTTCCTGCAGAATTACGGAAAATGGGCCAGAAGGAATCATTTTTTTAAAAAAAATTAAACACGGGAGAAAACCAAATGGTCAGAATCACTTATCCAAGCAGAGAACTTTGGCTGCTATTAAAACTCTGAATTTTAGTTCCTGACTATTTAGTTGTGTTTGTTAGCCATGAATCAGGGCCAACACTGGGACGAAAGATGGGCACAGGACAAACCATGATGAAACCCCCCCCCCCAAACAACAACAATAACCCCATGAACTAGGCTGGTTCATGGTTCATTTCATAGGTGCTTCAAGGAAAGGCGCTTTCACAAAGTCCAATGAAACACCAATATTTTTCGTCATTCGTGTTTCGTTTCACTACATCCCTCCCCCGAAATGCGCCCTTCACGGGCCCTGGCACCTTCCATACTCACTCTGAGCCTCTTCCTCCCTTTCTCACAATACCCTAAGCCTCACAGGAAGTACTGGGGCAAGAGGAGGGCCCCAGAAAGCCTATGGTACTTCTTGGCTGGGCAGCACAGTAGTGGAAGGGGACCCGTAAGCTCACTGCTAGGGCCTGTGAAGGAGGGCTTTCTGTGTAGTTTTGAGCAACACAGAAAGACCCTCATCATTTAGACATGGGTCTGAACTGAACAAACCATGAACCAGTTTATTTATTTATTTTTTAAAAAAGCTCAGCTTGGTTCGTGGTTTGTGGTTTGTGGACGCGAATGAACTACAAATTATCACAAACTGCCAGATGCAGATGGTGACAGCAGCCATAAAATTAAAAGACATGTGCTTCTAAAGATGGGCACAGGACAAACCATGATGAACCAACCCCCCCCCCCAAAACAACAACAATAACCCCATGAACTGGGCTGGTTCATGGTTCATTTCATAGGTGCTTCAAGGAAAGGCGCTTTCACAAAGTCCAATGAAACACCAATATTTTTCGTCATTCGTGTTTCGTTTCACTACATCCCTCCCCCGAAATGCGCCCTTCACGGGCCCTGGCACCTTCCATACTCACTCTGAGCCTCTTCCTCCCTTTCTCACAATACCCTAAGCCTCCCAGGAAGTACTGGGGCAAGAGGAAGTCCCCAGAAAGCCTATGGTCCTTCTCGGCTGGACAACACTGCTAGGGCCTGTGAAGGGGGGCTTTCTTTCCTCCCTTTCTCACAATACCCTAAGCCTCACAGGAAGTACTGGGGCAAGAGGAGGGCCCCAGAAAGCCTATGGTACTTCTTGGCTGGGCAGCACAGTAGTGGAAGGGGACCCGTAAGCTCACTGCTAGGGCCTGTGAAGGAGGGCTTTCTGTGTAGTTTTGAGCAACACAGAAAGACCCTCATCATTTAGACATGGGTCTGAACTGAACAAACCATGAACCAGTTTATTTTTTTAAAAAAAGCTCAGCATGATTCGTGGTTCATGAACACGAATGAACTATGAACTATCACAAACTGCCATTGTTCCAGTTCTTAACGACTAAACAACAACAACAAGCCATTGTTCCAGTTTGTGCCCATCACTAATTGGGATGTAAGAGAAAATGAAAGCCACAGATTGATCCACTCCTACTGGATCATGCCTAGTGATGGATTAAGGATTAATGTAATTTATTGGGGATGGAAGAAAACCTTCCAGGGTCTTTGGGCCTATGTACTTGGGTCTTCCCATATTGGGAGAAAAACAACTCAGAGGTTTTAAAAAGGAGAAAGTGATTCACCGGGAAAAGCAGAAGTGGTCATGACGTGTCCCTACCCTTGCAAACAGTCGTCATTAAATTGCATGATCATAGCTTTGCACACAGATTCCAAATCAAAGTGATGTAGCTAGGCAACGCTTGGGAAAGTTACATTTTGGACTTCAGCTTACATTATCCACCACCCAACAAGACCGTACTTAATGGGGGATGTTGGGAATTGTAGTTAAAGCCCCCTCAACTTTTTCAAACTCTGCAGTTAGGGTGGGTCTTCAGGCATAAATAATCCAGTTGTCTTGGCCCTTACTCTTACCCTTCAACCTGGGTTGGGGTGACTCCAAGACCCATGTATTTTGGCCAAAGTTATCTTGGGCAAGAACATCTTCAAGGGGAAATTGGCCAGTTTCGTTCTCTGCTACATTCGTATGAAGAAATTTGTGAGTTTTCAAGAAACTCTTTTTAAAAATGGACAGAAACTGAATTCTCATCCCCTTGTAGTGCCTTAAATCAACAGCTATCTTTAGCTTTGGAGACCAAGACCAAGATTACCCATACTGTGGCATTCCTGATTACCATGTGTGCATATAAAGGCTGGGCAGCGAAGAAAGTAGACAGAAAAAGAGTAGATTCCTTTGAAACATGGGTTGGAGGAGAGCTTCATAGATACCGTAGACTATTAGAAAGACAAATACCATATTTTTCTGAGTATAAGACGCCCTCATGTATAAGACGCCCACCATTTTTCTAACCCAAAATTAAGAAATCTAAGTGGGGCTTAGCAAATGTAGGGTAAAAAGGACCAGTGCTGCAGGAATGCTTTGATCCATGCTTTCTCCCTTTGTGCTAAGCCTTGTGTGGCTTAGCAAAAGGAGGGGAAAAGGGATCAAACCAATTCCACGACTGCACAATCATTTTGATCCTTTCCCCCCTGTGGGTCAGCTGTTCCTCAGGGGCATAAGCAGAGAAAGGCTTTCCCCTTGGGCGGCTTGCTAAAACCTGCCTGAAGGGAATCCCACCCTCTGCTTTCCCTCTGCTTGCTAAGCCCCACAAGGCTTAGCAAGAGGAGGGGAAAAGGAATCAAAGCAATACTGCTCAAAGCCGTGCGGAATCACTTTGATCCCTGCTTTTCCCCTCCACTTGTTTTTTTCTCCTCAGCTTACTTCTGTGTATAAGACAACCCTCAATTTTTAGTCTAAAGATTTTAGACAAAAGTATAGACTTATACATGGAAAATACAGTAAGTCAGTGCTAGGTAGAATGAAGCCTCTCTTAAGACTGAACATGAAGAAGTCAAGGCCATTATACTTTGGTACATGGAAAGAAGAAAAGACAATAACGCTGGGAAACGTTGAAGGCTGTTGGAGATGAAGAACACCAGATTGGAGACAGATTAACTCAGTAAAGGAAGCAAACACATTGAGTCTGCAAAAGATGAGCAAGGGTGATAATGATAGGATGGTTCGGATGTCACTCATCCAGACCCTGAAATCCTGTTGCTTTGTTACACATGCAGAAGGCAAAAGGCAAAACATGCAGTCATTCTTAGCTGGTAATTGACAAGTCATCTCCTTAATTGCTGCCTAGGAACAACTGAATGTTACACGTTTTGTTACTCAGAGCCACAAGATTTCAGCCGTAGGACCACCCCATAAGCAAAATGAAGGGACAGAATAACATCTTGATTCTCAGCACGAAGAGAACTATAAAGCACTTTCCTGTCACATAAAAGACCTTTGTTCAGTCATCGCCTCCCCCACAAGGAGGTCTGCTGTCTTGCAGGTAAGCAGAGTTTTCTATTTGTAATGAAACTTAAATAATGTAATATGTCCAAACTGGAGTGGTAACTGCACCTGGTGAACATCCTCCTTGATTACATGGCTTATAAAAACCTCAAAGGTTTGGTTCTCTGGATGGACAGTTCTTTCAGTTTTATTTTCTCTCATATTTGATTTTTTTAAAAATCCCACATACTTCCAATCTGAATATTTATTTTTTAAAAAAATTGCTAACTCTGGAAAATATTTATATGAACTTAACTAAATACACCATTTTGACCACAACCCTCCTCTCTGCTGGCTTGCTTCCCAACCCACACTCCTGCCCTCCACCGGCCTGCTGCTTTTTACATTAAAGAGTTTCTACGCCTTTAATGGAGACTTAAACAACGTAGTTCTGTCTAGAGTGGAGTAGCAACATTGCGAAAATTGCATCTGATGAATTTCCCCCCAAATGAATCTGTTCAGGGAGCAAATAAACTGTCAGAGGCAGCTCCCACCCAAATTTTAGTTGTACTTACCTCCCTCCATGTTATTGAATCGTGCATTGACTCTAGTTCTCAGCTGTGATCTGATTTTTCAGAGCGCTTCCACAAACTATAAGTACGGATGTAAGAAAAACGGAAGAGACGGGAAGTGGTTTGTGTAAAATGTGGTTTTGTGTGTTTCTTGGGGCAGGACCTGAGGCGTTACCACATTTTTCCAGCTTAAGCCCCTAAACCTTCCATCCTGTTTGCTTTAAATTGAGCCTCTTTCCCTCAATTTCCCTCAAATGGCACACTTTCTAGCGGAAGGCTGAAAATGGAGGAAAAGGAAACAGGGTCGTTCCACCGTATCTTGTGAAAGTTCTCTTCTCCCTTTGACTTCTGCATCTTCTGAGCACATTCCATTTCAGCTGGCCAGTCCATGAATTCCCATGGACCTGCATACATTTTGGTGTGAATGCGATTGACCGCCATAGTGTCGCAACATTTCCCATGGACCTGCATACATTTTGGTGTGAATGCGATTGACCGCCATAGGGAAATGTCGCAACAGCTCGAGCAGTGCCTGCCAATTTATTTCTGTGTATTGGTAAGGGAAGGTGTAAATGCCAAATAGAGTTGAGGGTGGAAGAAATAATATGAGCCAAGGTGACCTACATTGACACATGCCATTGAAATTAAGAGAGTGCAAAAAGTTGCTCCTGGAAGAGCTCAATCCACCTGTCTAGAAAATTAATTATTGCTACAGCACTCAATATTAATTCATCACACTAGTTTTTTGACAAAGTGTTTGCTTTGCAAATAGATACATGTCTAATAATTGTGTGCTGTCAAGTAGATTCTAACTTATGGTGATCTTCTCCAGGATTCATTCATTCATTCATTTAAGGGACATGGTGGCGCTGCGGGCTAAACCGCAGAAGCCTCTGTGCTGCAGGGTCAGAAGACCAGCAGTCGTAAGATTGAATCCAAGCAACGGAGTGAGCTCCCATCGCTTGTCCCAGCTCCCGCCAACCTAGCGGTTCGAAAGCATGCAAATGCAAGTAGATAAATAGGGACCACCTTGGTGGGAAGGTAACAGCGTTCCGTGTCTAAGTCGCACTGGCCATGTGACCACGGAAGATTGTCTTTGGACAAAAACGCTGGCTCTATGGGTTGGAAATGGAGATGAACACCGCCCCCTAGAGTCGAACACGACTGGACAAAAAATTGTCAAGGGGAACCTTTACCTTTACCTTTACCTTTTCTCCAGGCTTCACTAGATAGAGATATGATTACTCAGAAGTGGTTTACCATTCTCTCCTTCGTTGGGGGATGGCACTGTGCAGCTTGCCCAAGGCCACACAGGCTGACTCTTCTCCCTGTTAGGCATAGTTGGGAATTGAACCCTCAATCTCTGGCCAGGTACGGTACCCAAACCACTGAGCTATTGACAAGATGTTCTGCATTGCATTGCAGATGAACTACATTCCTGGGACATTCTGGAAAAATCTGCCTCTCTTTGGGATCAGACGTTTATCCCCATGTTCCTTGTTAAGGATGGGCCTGAATGAAAATTCCCCCAATTTCTTTTTTATTAATTTTGCAGTCTAAAACTAATGATTGCAGTGTATAACATTTCATCTCAATAAATATACATCTCAAACACATACTTCTTTTAAGACAAGTATAAAGTATGCCCTTGAAGAGTACAATGGAATGGGACAGAGAGGTGCTATTCCGAGATGTATCCTGAAAATTGAAGTTATTTTTTCCATAACCCAAAGAAATCATGGAAGGTATTGCATGTTCCATATACACAAAGGAACACTGTGAATCAATACAAAAGGAAATCACCTGGGGGGCATTATCACCCACGTTAAGAACCACTGCACTAGAAGGCCATCATATTTCCGGAAAAAGTTTCTGTTTCTCTTTCACCCTGTTACTATGTGAGGGGCAGTGATTATGGTTTTTTAGGGAAATTTGCCAGAATCAGAAGATTCCATGGTGTTTTACCACCTTCTCTTTTTCACCTCCTCCAACGTTGAAGACAAGAAATGTAAGTGAGGATGAACCGAATGGCTGCCAGTTCCTCCAGCATCTTGATGACATTCCTCTTGTCTCACTTTGAACAGTATTTTTATCCCATACCTTTTGTCCTTCCCCAAACTCTTGGTTTTGTTTTATACTGGGGGAAGGCCTTAATTCTATAGCACTGCCCTTCCCCATCAGAAGATGGCTAACAAACGAACTAGTGAATGAAAAGACTCCTGGCATTACACTGCATGCATCCAAAAACTGAATGAATGAATGAATGAATGAATGAATGAATGAATGAATGAATGAATGAATGAATGAATGAATTTCTATACCACCCATCTAACTACTGAGGCCACTCTGAGCAGTTCCCAGCATAATAAAACAGCACATAACACTTTAAATAAATTCAAAACACATAATTACAATACAAGAAAGCCAATTAAACATATCAGTCAATGAAAAATATGACATGAAAATGTTATTTTTTTAAAAAAGGAATATAGTGCTACAGTAAGCTCTTTTGTAATCAACCCACCCCAAAGTGGAGATGTAGAGGAAATGAAGTAATCAAAGGAAGAAAAGAAGCGGCGTATACTTCCTTGGTGCTGTTGTTTCACCAGCTTCACTACCAAGCACTTTTGACCTCAGATTAGTTTTCTATCTGAACCTGTGCAAGCTCTGGATCCAATGAATAAGTGGTGCTTTATGACAGCGAAGCATAGGATATGATTTTATCTCATCCACCCCAACACTGGAGGAGGAAATTCACATTCAGTACCCCAAACCACCAAGGAACGTGGTAGCACTGCGGGCTAAACCGCAGAAGCCTGTCCTGCAGGGTCAGAAGACCAAGCAGTCATAGGATCGAATCCACGCAATGGAGTGAGCTCCCGTTGCTTGTCCCAGCTCCCGCCAACCTAGCGGTTTGAAAGCATGCAAATGCAAGTAGATAAATAGGGACCACCTCAGTGGGAAGGTAACAGCATTCCGTGTCTAAGTCACACTGGCCATGTGACCACAGAAAGATTGTCTTTGGACAAAACGCTGGCTCTATGGCTTGGAAATGGGGATGAGCACCGCCCTCTAGAGTCAGACACGACTGGACAAAAAATAGTCAAGGGGAACCTTTACCTTTACCTTTACCCTAAACAGCACAAATTGGGGAGGAGGGGGGGAGAACAACATCAAATGCTTCATCTTGAAGACTCTGAATGTAAAAACTGAAATATAGATGAGAAACTAGGGTAGCATCTTCGTTCTAGTTTTTCCCACCAGTTTTTGAAGAAATGGCTTACTTTGCAAATTAAAAAAACCCATTATATACAGTAGTACCTTCCCTTGAAAATGGATTAAATTCCTCGAAGTTTCTGTACATATGTTCACAATGAGAGAGCAGCTGAAAGGGCTCTCACACTGACAAGATAATAACAAATCTCCAGTCTTCCTTCATGCGCCCCATTGGTCCACTCTGTCTGAAATTTGGCAGGTCTAATTCTCTATGAGTGGTCGTTAACGTGCTCACAACTACCATGCTAATTACATGAGGAACACATGCTTCCAAGCTGGAGAAATGCATTTATAGAAATAGAATTTATTGAAATGGAAAGCTTATAGAAAACATGTCTTTCTCATTGTGGAGAAAATGCTATTACTTAATCTATCCCATGTTTGCAGAATATCATACTTTGGTGTCCAGTTGCTGAAAGATTTATGGTATTTAAGTAGAAAACACCATCTTAATCGCTTCCCAGCATCTTTCTCCTAAAATGTGTTTGTTCTGCAGATCTACAGGTACCTTCACTTTGCACATGGATATGCTGCTAGAAGACAGAAAGGTCCATATTTAAGGAAGGATCAGTGCCTTACCTTTGCTAGATCTTGCTAAAATCAGCCCTCCTCCTTTCCTTCTAAAGCTGTGTCTCCCTGCCAGGTGGCCTGCAAATTCTCCTCCCCCTTGACATCAAAAATTCTGACCTGGAAGGCTGAGAAGCTCCCTGGTGCAGTGTTTTTCAAGAGATCACAGAGGCATTATGGGGAGGGGGGAAATCTTGATTCTTTAGATGCTCAGCACCAAAATACATAGCTGGATACTGGACTTCCAAGAATAAGGGTGCAACCCAACAGCTGCAAAGGAACACAGTTGGTGGCCCTGGAAAGGGTCATTTTAATGGGAGCGATCTCCTTCTGTCTGCCAGGGAATCTCTCTAGCCTAACTTCAAGGTCCAGCTTGGGCATGGATCAGGGTTGGTCTGAGTGGGTGCAACCCAACAGCTGCAAAGGGACACAGTTGGTGGCCCTGGAAAGGGTCATTTTAATGGGAGCGATCTCCTTCTGTCTGCCAGGGAATCTCTCTAGCCTAACTTCAAGGTCCTGCTTGGGCATGGATCAGGGTTGGTCTGAGGGTGTTTTCCACATGTCATGTGATCACTGTGAAACAGATTGTACAAGAGTGTTCCATAAGCTCACAATGGTGATATATCTCCCTGTGCAAGTACACCCTAAATCTACTTGTTGATATACAAAATGGATTATTCACCAGCTGTCAGTCACTTTCGCCCATCTGTGCCAGCTCATGTTCATAGCTGTGTAAATGGTGAGCTTCCAATGAAGCTTTTCCAAATGAATTTAATCAGTGCATTGAAAAGATAAGCTGTCATACCATAAGGCATGAATTTAATCAGTGCATTGAAAAGATAAGATGTCATACCATAAGGCATCATGTAGGCAAGGTCATTAGAACAGATTTCCTTATTGCCCAAATGCCTTATCCAACCTTATACATGGGAAAGAGGGAACAAAAAGGAAGACCACATGCAATACATGATCTTCTACAGTGGTGCCCCGTTCCACTGAAATCGCTGTTTAGTGAAATCATTGTCTAGCGGAAAGCATTTCCCTATTGGAATGCATTGCAACCTGTTTAATGTGTTCCAATGGGGAAGAATTGTCGTTGTCTAGTGAAGATCGGCCGTAGGAAAGCCGCTTTGCAAACCGCTGATCAGCTGTTTAAATAGCTGTCTTGCGAAGCTTAGGTCCTGAAAACACCTGTTTTGCGAGTGCGGAGAAAGGTGTCAAAATTGTTGTCTAGTGAAAATCAGTTTGCGAAGCAGGGACCAAACATTGTCCAGCGAAATTCCCCCATAGGAATCACTGTTTTGCGAATTGCTATAACGATCGCAAAAAGTCAATGTCTAGCGAAAAAACTGTCATGCAGGGTAACTGTCTAGCGAGGCACCACTGTACATGATTAACTTCTTTGCTGACTTCCCGAGTGTGTGTATAGAGGACATAGAGAGAAATACTCTCCGCCCGCTGCATTTGTCACATGAAACTCGTGGGGTAACTGTCTAGCGAGGCACCACTGTACTTGATTAACTCCTTTGCTGGCTTCCCAAGTGTGTGTGCAGAGGATATAGAGAGAAATACACTTCGCCCGCTGCATTTGTCACATGAAACTAGCCCATGAATCTTGTTTGTAAATGATGGAGAAGTAATTTTCTCACTTCTAATTTTCTATCTCTTAACTTGATTGGGAACCTGACAGTGTCTAGCGAGGCACCACTGTACTTGATTAACTCCTTTGCTGGCTTCCCAAGTGTGTGTGCAGAGGATATAGAGAGAAATACACTTCGCCCGCTGCATTTGTCACATGAAACTAGCCCATGAATCTTGTTTGTAAATGATGGAGAAGTAATTTTCTCACTTCTAATTTTCTATCTCTTAACTTGATTGGGAACCTGACAGTGGATATTATAAATAATTTGGAAGAAATCTGCTTGCACAGATCTCCATGATTTGTATTCTGAACGGTCATTGTCATTGCCTGCAAGCTACCTAAACTTCTAATAAATTGGTCTGTGTCAGAATACCATAATTTACTTCTGCTCCCTTGAAGTTCTTAATAACAAGAGGGATCATAGATTTCTGGCTCAGCTTGTCATTTGGATCAAGTTAAAATTCACAGCTATCTTGTGACGAGTGCTATTTTTTAAGCTGGCCTCTTGAGCCTGCAGGACCAGGTTACCGTGTCTGATAGCACCAAATGGAAAGGCCTTCCTACAATGAATGGAGAAAAACAGCTGAAGGAAACAAAAAATGAACTGAGAAGGAAGGAAGGAAGGAGCTGATGATGGATAGAAGGAAGGAAGGAAGCCTGTTTGAAGAGAAAGGTCTTTGCCCGCTAGCAGAAGGACAGCAAAAATGGGGCCAGGCTGCCCTCCAGTGGGAGGGAGTTCCACAGTCTGGGGACAGTGACAGAGAAGGCCCTTTCCCATGTCTTCACCAAATACACCAGTGAGGATGGTGGGACTGAAAAAAAAAGGCCTCTCCTGATGATCTGAACATCCAGACAGGTTCATAAATGGAGACAGAGTCCTTTTTGCCCTAGAGCTGTTCAAGCCATTTAGGGTTTTATATGTCAAAAATAACACTTTGTTGGAGAGAAATGCACAAGCCGAAAAGTCTAGTCTAGGCCAAAATTAATCGCAATAACATCCTGCAATCCTAAATATTTCTCAGATAATAATGCACATGAATCAAACATCTCCCAAAGCTGAAAAAACGTTTCTTTTAGTTATAAGTCTGAGACTTTCATAGCCAACATGACCACTGACCCTACTGACTTGAGGATTCTGGAACCTGTAGTCCAAAAGTAACTTTCCCAAACTCTGCCAACTTAACAAATCAACTTACACAGAACTGTAGCCTTTCCTATTTTGATCTTCCTGTGAGCTTTTTAAAAATGAAAGTGCTTCAAAGTTCTTGACCTTTGTTAGTGAATCCCCAATTATGAGATGAACAAGCTTACCCCCTGGTATGAGGGCTGTCTTGTTCCAAACCCTCCAGAATCTCTGTACCGATGCACCTGCCCTGTTGTGTTCGTAAAAGGAGTAATACAGGAAGTGTATTACAGGAAATCGTGTCAAGACAGATGCAGAAATGAATCTCCTTTGTGTGCTGAACACCACTGCTAAATCGTAATCTAGATGAACAGTGGGCTGTTGTGCTCTGCACAAAACAGGGAAATGAATTATACTCAAAAAATTTTTTCTTACCTCAGCTATTTCCTAAGTTTCACCAAGTTGAGACTTCCCTTTTAGAGCATCAAGATTTCTTGGCTTCAAACAAAAATGAGACATAGGTTTTGGTCCCCCACCCCCGCCATTTATTTCTGATTGCTTCTTTTGTGCTGAAGTGTTGTGGAAGAAACTGTCAAATCCTGTGTAGTCTGATGCACATTCCAGTAAATTGTGTGCCAGAAAAAAAAAACTTATTTTATTCTGGCATCAAAACAGTTCTCTACAGACTGGTGTTTCTTTAAAGCAGAGTAAGCTTGTCAAGAGTGGTCATTTTGGCATGGGGTGGATCAGGCTACAAAGGGTCTCTTGAGGTTGTGATATTTGGGCTGGTCCTCCCGTCCAAACAACAAACAATGTTCTGGCATCAAAACAGTTCTCTACAGACTGGTGTTTCTTTAAAGCAGGCTAAGTTTGTCAAGAGTGGTCATTTTGGCATGGGGTGGATCAGGCTACAAAGGGTCTCTTGAGGTTGTGATATTTGGGTTGGTCATCCCATCCAAACAACAAACATCTTGTAGCATGATCAGCTGTCAATTAAGCACTTCCCCTGATCATCTTCAAAGGGTCAGGGGAAGCTTCTTTTTAAACATTGCTCCTCTCTCCCTCTGTCAGTCCTGTTGCATTTTCTCCCTTCCCTCCTCCCTGTTTTCCTTCCATTTTCCCCACCATTTCTCTCTCAAATGGTCCCTTGGAATCTGCAGGTACTGGAGGCTCCAATTACCCAGCTAATGAGCATGCCAAAAAGAATGCATGCTCTACCACTGAGCCAGAAAGGTGCACGGCAGCCCTTAATGGAGAAAAGGTCTTTTTCCAATCTGAATCGTGCAATCCATATATTGTATGTATAAGCCAATGTGGACAAGCCAAAAGAAAGAAAGGAGAACAAAAATCTAAGAAACCCCATGAGATTTCCCGGAGGGGGGGGATCTTGCTGCAAGTGAAAGAAAAGGGATTTGAAAACTCATAAGACATAATAAAGGCATTGGTTGTTAAAGTAGCATGAGAAACTTTGCTGTTTTTCTTGCACCAAGAGTACAGAAATAAAACTCCAGCTATAACAGGATCTGGCCAAAGGGAAGGGAGAGTTAGTTCATTGTCTCTCCCTCCCTGCCACATTAAAGTAGTGAATCTACTCTGGGTTTTATCCAGGTTGGAACTAGCAGAGCTGTTGAACCCTATCCTCAGACTAGATTCAGCACTTCACTAGCTCTGAAGTTCAGACTAAAATGTCAAGCAGGTTCATTACTGACACTGGAATCTCTCTCTCTCTCTCTCTCTCTCTCTCTCCGTGTATTGCAGAGTTTATTTTAAAGATTGTTATGGCTAGGCATCCTTCAGTCTCAAGAGACGATGGTAACATGCTCTGTATGGAGGACTTGGAGCAGTGTCTAGTGTGGCTGAGAAGGCCAATTTGAGAGTGACAATCCCTTCCACACTGAAGACAAATACAACCTGTCCCTGTCCAGCTCCCTGATTTTGCTGCTTTTGTGTCTTCCTCTTTGCCTCGGCCTGCTGGACAAGGGTCTCTTCAAATTGGGAGAGGCCATGCTGCACCTCCTGCCTCCAGGCTGAATGCTCGGATGTCAGTTTCCCATCTGTTGAGGGAGATCAATGATTAACAAAACAGCAAGGATCCAAAGGAGTACATGGAAAAATGACTGAAACTAGAAACAGGCTGATGCATCGGTAACCTTGGAAATATAGCTTGTTTTCCAACCTTGAGTATTTTCTCTCAGATTTTCCAGAATATTCCAAACAGGAAGAAAGGCAGGCTTCAGGATGTCAGTAATGATGCCCATCATATGGACCAGGAGTTGGTCTGCAGTTGTGCGGTTATTTGTTCAGAGGGGCTACCAAAGTTTGTGTGTAGTGCTAATCTGCTAGCTGGTAAGCTTTCCGGGAGGAGATTGATTCCATCACTCCCACATCCACTTCAGTGAGCTTTCTTGAGAATGGAGAGCTTTCCGCTGGAGCCCTGAAAGTTAATCTAGGAAGAATGATGCTTTCCGCTGGAGCCCTGAAAGTTAATCTGGGAACCCATGGGGAAAAATGATACAAAACAACAAACAAACAAAAAAGATAGTGGAAATGCTTTCAGGGGTATTTCCACTATGATGAGTGCTTGATATTGAAGGCTGAAAATGCTCTCTCTGGAAGAATCCTTCATCATGAATCTCATGGATTGACTTTGAGGCCATCACCCTCTCTCCCTCTACAGTTTTGACTTCCCTCAAAGGGTTGTTGTGACCACGAAACAGCAATGAGTAGATAGATCTTCTCCACCTTGAGAGCATTAGAGGAAATACAGGAAACGTGTGTGGCTCATTAATACTCAAATAAACCAAGCAGCGCTTGGCCAGAGCACGCCAAGAGGTGCTTGGGTGATTAAAGCTGGAGATAGGGAAGTGGTTTTTACAGAAAACCTATTAGTGTGAGGTTCCAGTTTCATCTTTTCTCTCCTGAATGCTAAGTGGCACCATAGACAACTTTGTGGACCACCGTTTCTGAACAAGTCAACTAAAATCACCAAGTGAGTAAACCATAGCTGAAGAATCAAAAGGGCCGGGTGAGGGAGAAGCAGGATTTGAGAGCTAGCTGCCTGAGGTTATCATCCCATTTACTGCAGTTGTGGTCTTATGGGATAAGAGAGAGAAAGATGGGACAAATATTTAACTATCATGGGATCCGGAGCTCTTAGCATTCTTAGATTTCATACCTCAAAGGGAAATGGACTTGAGAGATTAATATGGCCAAGCTTCCAGTGTAATATTGCTAAAACTGAGTGGGGTATCATGTGTTTTTCTCTTTGTTCTCAGTTTCTCTACTTTTTTCCACTGTTCCATTCATTTTCTTCCTCTTCTTTCCTCGGTCTGCGGTTCAAATGTCTATCTTTTTTCAGGGTCTTGCAGAAAAAAGTATTGTAAGCTCACTTTTCACAATGGCATAAACCTACTTTGAGGAGAAGGTAGGAAACGTTTTAGAACCATGGAGGCTTGGACAGAGAAAGGAGAAAACAAACAGTTCCTTAAATGGTTTCTGAAGAATCTACAGCAGCCTTGCCGGAGGAGCGCCGCGGGTTAAACCGCAGAAGCCTCTGTGCTGCAGGGTCAGAAGAACAGCAGTCGTAAAATCGAATCCACGCGATGGAGGGAGCTCCCATCTCTTGTCCCAGCTCCTGCCAACCTAGCAGTTTGAAAGCATGTAAAAATGCAAATAGATAAATAGGTACCACCTCAGTGGGAAGGAAACAGCGTTCTGTGTCTAGTCGTGCTGGCCACGTGACCACGGAGGATTATCTTCGGACAAATGGTGGCTGTATGGCTTGGAAACGGGGATGGGCACTGCGCCCTAGAGTCGGGCACAACTGGACTAAATGTCAAGGGCAACCTTTACCTTTACCTACCAGAGGAAAAGCTGATCACTACAGTAGCTACCCTACTATTGAACCTAGTTGCTGAAGTGGCCACCTGCTATAGGAGTGTCTATTTGTCTCTGCTATGTTCTCTAATGCCAAGGGGTTACAATGGTCAAGATCCTGTTGCTAGCTGAAGCAATGGACTCATTGTATCATTTGCTGAATTGTAAACTTCCTGAGCCGATGGGCCTCCTCTAGGTGGGACTAGCAATAAGATACTGATCCATTTGTTTTCAATTCTCTCTTACATAAAGGAAAATAAATCCAAAAGATCTGAGTCTCAAACTTCACATCAGTCATGGAAATAGGGTCATATGAAGGTAACTTGCAGGCGGAGCAAGACAGGGGACTTACCCCATTTCAGAGGGGCCTCCTGCTGGCCTGGACATGAGCAGGACTGTGTGCAAATATTTTTTTTCAAAATTTCATTTTAGGAATGGGGGGGGGAGGAAGTTGTGATGAGAGATATTTCATTTCTCCCTATAATAAACAATCCTTTTGTGATTTCATTTCACACATTTCCGCCCTGAATTCTGAGCCAAATGTGAAATGAACTTCCATATCCCTGCACTTCTAGGCAAGTGGCTTGAAAAAAGCCAGGAAGGGCATAGGTAGAGGTCACAAAAAGTTTCATGCATATGCTTTAGTGTGAGCATTAATGCATATTTATTGTTCTGGAAACAGGTTTCACAGCGCTCCTGACATGGTGTCTCCTATTTTCTTAGGGCTAAAAATAGCAGCTCAACCAAATTTGATGGGCTTGGGATGAAGTAGGGAATATATATTCCAAAACCTCATGCCTAGCGGATAGATGGGGAATGCCCTATCTGTTCGAAGTAAGAGAGGAAAGGATCTCTGTTCAAGTAACTCATTCATTCGTTAGCCATCAGTGAGTTTCCATTTCTTGTGGCCTATGCTTTACATATGGAATGTGGAGAGAGTGTTCTGCTTGCTTTCACAAAAGGAACCCCGAATCTCTCAGCTTTCAGAGACAGACAAGATCCTGAACCTATTCTACCTATCAGGTTCAGCACCTTGAATAGCTCCTGTAAAGTTTAGAGCCGATTTGCTACGCTGTGACATCAGAGCCAGTAATTTCCATCTCTGTGGACGAGCAAGTCCAATCCCAAAAGATTAACATCACAAGACCCAAAAGACGGTGTGTTGTTTCTTTGTCCCTGACTCTCTCTATCTCTGTCTTTCTCTATCTCCTTTCATTTAACAACACCTACATTTGGGTGGTCAAATGTAGGGGTGTGTGCTGGCAACTGTATGACATATTTTCAAAAAGATTGAGAGATGCAGTGGGGGAGATGAATCTTTTGGACACCATGAGATCATTCTAAAGATGAAATGGCAATGTGGATGCCATTTCCTTGGAGAAATGAAGATCTACTACTAGGAACTGTTGAAGAACGTATTGCCATGCAGATTCTGCAATGTCCGTTGTAAGACAAAACTTTGAACCTTCAAAAATGGTGCTGGAAGTGGTCTTCTAACAATGTTTCTTTTGATTTTTATAGTTTTGGTCATTGTTGGGCTAGTCCAACCCGCAATTTGGCAAGTTTGGGAATGGTCAAGAGGCCCTTAGATCATCCAAAGCTGCTCACTTCTGCAACGTAGGAGGTATTGAAGACTAAGATCTCATCTTTTCCATCTTCCTCCAGGTCTTCATGGACACCAGTAACATGTCCGTCCTTCTGGGGAATTCCTCAGTTAGAGGAATGAATGTCAGCACCAGCCACTTTCCAGCCGCCATAAAGCCACTGAACCTCTTCATTGCTTGCTTTGTGTCAGTTTCCTTCCTGGTAGGAACAATAGTGAATGGGCTCTTCCTCTGGGTACTAGGGGTGAAGATGAAAAGGACAATCAATACTCTCTGGTTTCTCCATCTGATTCTTATTCATTTGATCTCTTCCTCCTACATGCCTTTCTTTGTCGCCTACATCCTTCTTGGTTCACACTGGGCTTTTGGCAAAGCTCTGTGTAAGGTTCTCAACTTCTCGAGTTCTCTAGGAATGTTCACCACAGTCTTCCTTCTCACCATCGTCAGTCTGGACCTCTACCTGCTCACCTGCCACCCTATCTGGTCCCAACACAATCGCACAATATCTCGAGCACAGAAACTGATCACAGGAACATGGCTTGTTTCCTTTGCCTTGAGCACCCCTTACCTATTTTTTCGAGAGACTCAAGAGACGACCGAGGGCAAGATTCAGTGTGTCAACAATTATGCCTTATCCAATAACTGGGAGGCGGTTGAAATGCAGGCCTTCAGGAATCGTATTCATTTGGTTTTCTTTGTTGGCCGGGTTCTGTTGGCTTTCGTAATTCCTCTCGTCATCATAGCGGGTTGCTATTATTCTATCGGTTGGAAAATGAAGAAGAAAAAGTTAACAAGAACTGGGAAGCCCTTCAAAGTCCTCACAGCTGCTGTGGCATCGTTCTTCCTCTGTTGGTTTCCATACCATCTCTCACAAGCTTCACTGGTATTTCAGGCATCTGAACAAATGGTAAAGTTCCTGCAGCTAATGTCTATCATTGCCGTCTGCCTCAACTTCTGTTTTACTCCCGTTCTGTATCTTTTTGTTGGAGAAAAATTCCAGCAGGTCTTCAAGACATCTGTCCTTGCGCTGCTTCAAAAAGGCTTTGCAGATGCTTCCATCATCCCTGAAGGCAATATCAATCCTAGTGAGGAAGTTCATCATTGTGTTTCTTAATGGAGTCCAATCCATTCAAGATGGACATGCGCTAGAAGAGTTTCTCAATGTGAAGGCGTCTCCAGAAAATGATCTGCCATGTCTTATAAAAAGCAACTTTGGGCCAACGTGCATCTTGAAAATATAGCTCCCTATATTTACTGGAAATTTCCTTTTTACCATGTTTTAGTTTGATATTTGTTTGACTCTTTTTAGTATGTGTATACTCACTGTCTTAAGCTTTAAATATTGTCTTCTAATGATGGCACTCCCCTTGGCTCTCTTTTGATAAAGGTGGGGTAAAAATATTTTAAATAAATAAATAAAAATTTTAAACTCAAGACCAGTAGAGGATAAAGGCAGAGCAAGAGAGAGGACACACTTTCATTTTTTGTCCTATAAAACTTTAGTTGTGCAATTATATCATAGAACAATGGAGCTGGAGGGGGCTTGTTTTGGTGAACACAGCTGACATATCACACCAGTAATACTTTGATGGGGCTTAAAAAATCCTTTCGAAGCATCACTGATACATTAGCAAGAATTAAAATCAAATGCAAAACTTTGTCTCCTTTGTCCTTCAAAGGAGAGCCAAGTAGAAGCTTCCTGTATCTCAAGATCATTTAGCAGCTTCACCAAAAGAACAGTCAGCCAGCTGCTTTGGTTTGATTCCAGTGATCACACAAATTGGAATCAAACCAAATGGAGTGATCCCACCTGCAAAAGAAGAGTTCTTGATGGGGAGGCAAAAAAACTGTGCAGGTATGAATAGAAGAGTTCTTGATGGGGAGGCAAAAAAATGTGGTTCTGGGGATGGGCTGGTTCATGCTGGCACTTCCGTCATGTGGTTGTTGGGAAAAGCAGTGAACCAGCCCAACCCTAGAGCAGACCAGTGGAACAAATCCATGTGTATTCACACCCTCACTCTGTTTTTCCAAATCAAGCCTCCTACAAGGTTCAAGCCCAAAATTAAAGCACAAAAGGCACCAGGAGCACAGATAGAGTTCTGACTCCTGTCCTCTGAAGATGCCGGCCACAGAGACTGGTGAAATGTTGGAAGAACAACCTTCAGAACACGGCCAAAGAGCCCAAAAAACCCCACAACAACCAGCACCAGGAAATCTTGCATAAGCCTAAGAGCCCGAAAAACCCACAACAATCAGCACCAGGAAATCTTGCATAAGCCCCTGCTTTTCAGCCTGCCCTACTTCACTTTGCGGTGACAATGAAGCAGGAAAGAGGGGAAAGTGGGATGTTAGAAGACACAGGTGTTTAGAAGAATGTCAGGACATATGGAAGTAAATACACCATGTTGTCCTGCCCATAGAGGACAAGAAATGGGAGACACGCAGCAACTCATAGACCCTAAGTTACAAATAAAGACGAGGAAGTGGTTTTCACACATCACCTCTGTGTGTGACATGTCTTTCTGTCTTTTCTCACAAAATTATCTTGCATGCTTGGGGAGCTTTTCTCCCCCGCCCTTCAGTGCTATGGCGTATAGGAGAACAGTCTGAGACCAGCCAATTTTACACATTCGGATCAAGATCACCAAATGGGTGGTACACTGAGGAATGTGGAGGGGGAGGGAGAAGGAAACCAACTTTCCTAAGTTCTCTTCAAAGATGACAGAACATGGGGTCTTGAGAAGGGGAAGGGAGAAGGGATTCCAGACTTCAAGAATCAAGATGGTGCAAAGGCTATTAGCCAGAGTTCTCAAGAACTTTTGGACATACAGTAGTTACTGAATTGGACTCTTTTCACTTAGCTTGGAATACCAGTAAGAACAACAACAGTGTTCTGTCAAGTTGATTCTGACTTATAGAGACTCTTTCCATGACTTTCTAGGCAGAGAACAGACAGGAGTGGTTTATTGTTCTGTTCTCCTGGATGTACTTCTCAGACTCTGCAGCTTGCAAAAGGCTACACAAGCTGGCCCTTCTCCCATGAGACAAAATGGAGAACTGAGCTTCCAACCTCTCTGGTTCTGCAGCCAGATACCTAAACCACTGAGCTATCCAGCTAGCATGTATTGGCTATAGGTAAAGGCAAAGGTTCCCCTTGACATTTAGTCCAGTCATGTCTGATTCTAGGGCACGGTGCTCATCCCCTTTTCCAAGCCGTAGAGCCAGCGTTTGTCCGAAGACCGTTTCCATGGTCACGTGGCCAGTGCGACTAGACACGGAATGCTGTTACCTTCCCACCGAGGTGGTACCTATTTATCTACTCACATTTTTATATGCTTTTGAACTGCTAGGTTGGCGGGAGCTGGGACAAGCAACAGGAGCTCACTCCCTTGCGTGGATTCGATCTTACGACTGCTGGTGATCCGACCTTGCAGCACACAAAGGCTTCTGCGGTTTAACCCGCAGTGCCACCACGCCCCTTTTGGCTCTAGGGAGAGCAAAAAAACGGCTGGAGTATTAACTATTCCTCTTTCCTGTGTTTTTCTTTGGGCCACCCCTATCTTTGGGAAGAGTAAAGCAATTGGCAATGACTGGGGACACCAGGACCAACCACCCTGCTTGTTCTTTGCTAGAATCTGGCAAATCTTGCTGTCCCTTCCACCCAATGAAGGCTTCCTATCCTCAGGTTCAGTGGAGGGCGCTCTCAGTCAACAGTGTTGATGTAAAGATTAAATGTTTGGCGGTTTCATTTCTGTGCATAGCCTGGAATGTCAGTAGCAGCTTGTCCTATGCTTCCAGCAACAAAGCATTGTGGGCTGGCCCTTCCTTATGTTAATTTATATTAAATCACAGTACTTTTCACTTGGGTTTCCCACCTCCCATCACCTGATTTCCATGGAGATCTTCTTTTCATCTTGCATCAGGACCTTTCACACAAAAATATCATCCTTCTGTTTTTATGTAACATCCCACAGAGTTTGGGAAGGTGATGCTGTCCAGAAAGTGGAATGCAGCAGACATTTAACTTCAAGCCAATGGCAGTAGGAACTGAGAAAAAAGGAAGAGTAGAACATTCTTCTAGAGGGTCAGACTTGTCCAGACAAAGTATTTATTTCCCCCTTAAATCTTGGGTTCTGTATTTAACATAAATTCCCCCCAGCTCCAAATCACATTCTTCCCATCATATTTTGTTCTAGTTTCCTTAAAAATCATGTTTCTGCATTTCCTATTGCCATCTAAGCCTCTGATTAAAATTTATACTATTTTATACCAAGAATGACATTAGCACTATGGCATTTCCAGTGGGGCTTTCTGTGGGAATGGCATTCTTCAGTCTATACATCCTTATGGATTAAAGAGCTGAATTAAGAACATTCCCCTCTCCTATCAAGAGCATAGACTAGCACCACAATTCATTCATTCATTCATTCATTCATTCATTCATTCATTCATTCATTCATTCATTCATTCATTCATTCATTCCATTTCTATCCCACCCATCTAGTGCTGGGGCAACTAACAACAATTAAAATACCACAGTCCAATGCCACTCTTAAAAAAAACAAACACCACCCATCTAGTGCTGGGGCACTACTCTGGGCAACTCACAACAATTAAAATACCACAGTCCAATGCCACTCTTAAAAAAAACAAACAAATCTGCATTACTGCAGTATTATAGGGGGTGAAATACAATTCAAAGTTATGCCAGTGTAAATATCCAATTGCCCGGTGCTACTGATGCGCTGGCAGGAGTACTTCATAGCACTTCTGGCCCAGGGCTATCGTAATTCCCAGCATGTGCAAAGTCAAGTTGTACCTGCATAGTTGTGCAACCGGATTATTATCGATATGACAACTGAATCACTGCAGGATGGAAAGGCGCTCTCTCTAAAGTCTCCCACTGGGACTCCACTCTCACTTTGCCTGCACCTCCCATTTCCTGTTGGAGCATCTCTCCAACAGAAATGCTGCCTGGATCTTTCACTGGATCTTCCTTGATCTTGCTGCTGTTGGTAGCCACACCCAGGGGTGACAAAGGAGGCCTCAAGCAAGATGCAAGCAGAGTCTAAGTGTTACTAATAAATAAATAATAGATATATTTTTCTGGCACTATTTTTGACACATCTGACTCCTTCTCATCCATCCAGGAAGGAGAATTTGACTGCTTTGCTGCTGGGCAGGTTCGACCCTCCTGTTTCTCTTTCTTTCTTTCCCCCCCCCCCACTCCATGCCACATGTTGGAGGAAGCCAACAAACTGAAGATACTGTATTTCTGCTGCTTGGCTTGTCCAAGAGAAAACTGACTCGGCTCTTTTCAAAACCTTTGCTGGTGTCTGTCTGTTTCCTAGTGGCACTTTAGCCTGTAGAGGAAGACGGGGGCAGGAAGAAAGGAAGAGAAAAGCGGGTGTATCTCAAATCATGTTTGAACATGAACATGACAAATGATGATGAGAAACACCAAGATGTGTGACGCTGGATGAGGAAAAAGAAGTGATGCAGCGTGCAATCAGTGGCATTTTTGGAACAGCCCTTAGACAAAAAGCTCCATTTACTGTCTTGCTGAAGAAGATGTTGATTACTTTGGCATTTGCTCTCCAGGAATCGAAGGCAACGTGTAAATTTGTTGCCTTCCTGTAGCCTCTCTGGTGTGCTGCTTGCATGTGTATAAATCAAGCCCCATATTTGAAAGAAACCACATTTCCCTGGTCTCGCTCTCTCACGTAGAGGAGAATAAACTCTGGAACGCTGACCCTGAAATTTGTCACTGTTCGTAAAAGCAGGAATCAGTGGTGGTTAAGCCTGGTTTGAGGAGATGGGAAAACAGACTTGGGATTCCCAGAGGAAGATGTTGTGAGAAGTAAGGATCTTATCATTTCCCCACCATGCATTCCTGGTGTCTTCTTATGTTTCTCGAAGTGGGAGCAGTCACTAAGAACCAAAAATGTTAGAGTCAGCAGAGCTGGGAATAATCATTGTAAGACAATCCAGTTATGGACTGAAGTCACTGACTGAGCAACTGTCCTAGAATGACTTCTTGGTTATAAGCCAGGATCCAGTTCGTCACTATGTCATATAAAGTCACACAGGTATAACTTTGCAAAGCATTATGCCCAACCAATGTAGACAGTGTGATTCAATCACACAATCGGTTGTGTGGTTCCCATCACAATCAATTGTGCAATACACTGATGAAAGTGCTGCATGAACAGCACGCCTGCCTTAGTGTTATTGCAGCTTCTGTGGGTGGAACACCGAGTGCATAGATCTGAGCAG